TTTTTTTTTTTAAACGTGTTTTGTCACTCTTTTTTCGTTTGCTTTTACCTTGAGCCGTCAAGTAGACCCATAACTCATATGCGTGGTGTTGCTATGTTATATAAAGGTGTGTAGTTTATTACTTCTAATGTATATTAGTGGCCTTGTAATTCCAAGGCAGGGGTTTGTCTTACAGTAGGTTGTATCCGGGGGTATTGGGGGAAATAATACTTTTTACTACTGTGTCTGTTTATATCATAGGGACGAAATATATTTTTTTGGTCTTTATTTATTTATTATTTTATTAATTATTCTTGATTATGAAGAGTGTATTATTTCTTATTTTTTCATATTATACCACCAGTACCTCCGCCAGTGTTGGGAAATTACGATGTGCTGGCGAGTACTCGAAGTTTTCGGGGGTCGGACACAGGGTCGGCAATGTCCCAAAAATCGTATTTTTCTTTTGCCTGCGCACGAAAGGAAAAGGAAAAAAAAAAAGGCCTTTGTACTGCAATGATGTCGGGCAGGGTAGTCTAGGAGGCCGTGCTGACAGTCTTGAATGCATCTTACAACAAAGACGGTCACATTCTGAAACTTGTTGTTTTCTTTTTTTTATTTATCTTTTGTTTGTTATGTGTCCCCTGCCAACGATGCAGGGCGGAATCCGTGAATTGCTCTAGCTGTGTTTCCTCATATGATTGTAACCCTGATGTATCCAACCGTTTTCAAGGCCGAATCCATGTTTCCGTTTTTTTTTCCCCTTGTTTTCTTTTTCTGGAATCTGACAATTTGAATCCGTGATCTGCTCGAGCTGTGTTCCCTCAGAGGATTGTAACCCTGATCACACTGGCACTTACAACAGTGATTTCGTCAAAACGAACATTTTATATTTTTTGAACGAAATTTAAATTGTCATTTCCGTGGTGATTTAGGGTCAAAAATGCATTTGAATTTGGGGGATGGGTATACATGCAAGGGTAAGGGGTAAGGGATAAGGGGTAAGGGGTTTGGGGGTAAGGGATAAGGGGTAAATGACAAGGGGTGAGGGGCAGGAACTTGGAGCAATGGTTGTCATCCTTTATACACTGTTTCCATGACAAATAATTTAATATTACCCACATCCATCCGCATGTAATCACAATATCCAACAGCAGGTTCATACTACTCGCGAGCCACTGGGTCCAAAGCCATTCGACGACGTATTGCGGGCATGTCATCAGCGGTGAAAGAGAAAGGCGGAAGGTGACCCCTTGCCAATAGCGATGCATATGCGAGCATGAAGACCCCACACATGCTAGTATCACGTTGTTTCGGAACGCCCTCTACGGTCCATATGTGATTAAACGGTTTCGTGTCCACCTCTTTGCCTTGCTGAATCGATCTTTTAAACAAAAACTTTGCAAATCCGCCGGTCACTTTGGCTGCCAGTTCTTTGTCGGGGCTGAGGGAGTCGTAAAATTCAAATTTCCTCCTCCTGAAGTCAGCCACAACGAGGGTCCAGTGGTTCGTGTGTGCGATATGGAAAGGGGCAATTATCAAGTCCATGTCACTTATTATAATGTCATTCGACCAATGCTGCACCTCTCGCTCTTGATATCTCATGTCGCTGTCGAAAAGTCTGGCGAAGAAAAACTAGCTCAGCACTGATATTCTAGGAATGCGACCCTTTCCGATTCTAATCACGGTTTCGTTCTCGGCGTCGCATTCTAAGTGTGTGATTCTACCACAGTTGTCCAGTGTGATGAGGTTCAGGTAGAAGTTGACGACGTTGTCATTTAACTAGTTCCGCTCGTCGACTAGTAAAATAAATTAGTCTCAAGTTAGCTTCAATACTTCGTTCGTCCCATGATTGTGTGTGCTCGCTATTGGGAACCTTTTCCCGTACTCCCGACTTACATGTGAGAGTGCTTTCATCTCCTTTTCTGACAAAGGCGATGTTGCGAGGCGCATTGTCCACCCTCTTTTGCACTTTCTTGTATCCGTTGTTGTAATTCGCACTGCACACGACAAGCACGACGAATACGACATCGACGGCGGTGTAAACAACGGTGACTGAGGCGGAAAGGGGTGTAAAAAAAATATCGCCCTTAAAGGAAAGTGAGAAATGGGTGGGCAGGCGGTGTGAAAAACGGGGAGGGCGAACATTTGAGATACTTGTACATGGGCAAGTGCCTTAGCATAACATGCTAAACAAAAATGATGTATTCAAGATACGTCATCATTCTTTCGCTAAACTTACACTTAGATGGACGACAACACTTCGGGACCAATCAATCCTGACTCCTGCCCCCTTTCATCACCGTACCCCAACGACATACATGCATATACAGAACGCAGCATATTGACGAATATAGAGAGACACACACGCATACTACGACACACTCTTGTTCACCACACAATTTTCTTGTGAACAATTAAAAGGTCAAATCCCGAAAATTAAGCACTAATGAGTGTGCAGGTCCATTGTACACAGGAACAAATTCCGCCCACAAACCTAGATTTCACACAAATGAGCACACACACGAAAACATTATATTTCCCCGCGAAGAGGATTCCCCTCAAGTTCATTCCCTGTCTCACCCCTCATTTTCTGCACTCGTGGGATCACTCACGCCCTTTCCGCCTTCTACCCCATCCTCATCGTCCGTCGTCATATCCTCAATATAGCGAGAACGTGGAGACCCCCATGCATTTCCCCCATTCCCGTCATCCCCTGTGACCCCTCCCTGTGGTGTTGTTGTACAGTGTGCGTCACCTTTGCCAGTGCATGTGGGCGGATGCAACGACATCCCCGTGACGCCCATCCCAGCAGTGGACTCTGACACCATCTCCGATGTGCCTGCCAGCGCCGCACCTGTCGCGAGCAGACTCCCGTATGTGGCGCCCGCATCCGCCGGCTTGTCGAGTGACACTTTTTCACCTTGTGATGTATCCCCCATTGCGACAGAGATGGCTCCGATGGTGTTTTTGCCTGCGGGCGTGTTCCTCGCCTCTGGCAACGGAGGCTTCACGCCCAACGTCGTCCCGCCATCTTCCTTTTGTTCACCCATTGTGTTCCCTGTGGCTGCCTCGGGCACAGGGGCGGCATCTTCTCGGGAGTCCACGTCCATGCTCTCGAGCGCGGCGGCGCGCTCAACCTTCCAGTCAATCTTGCCGTTCGAGGGGCTCGACTGCAGCTCGTAAAACTTGTGTGAGTACTCTAACTGCCGAGTGGCTCCCAAGGCGTCGAACAATTGTTTCGCCTTTGCCGCGATGGATGTTTCACTCTCCCCGGGGTTCTATTTCTGACAGCGGTATAGTATTGATTGCTCCGCCGTCTTCAGCCAGCTGTCCTTTCCCATGCGGGCAAACGGTCTCCAACCCTTCGAGACATACTTCACAGCGATTTTCCACTCCCCGCCTTGGATACATGGCTCAAAAATGCCGTCATGCCAAATGATATCATGGCCCCACTTGTCCTCAGTAGTGCAGGAGTATTTGTCATCCAAGAAATGCACATTGTTTGGATCCGCACAAAATCTAGGAGGAATCGGATCGCCTGGCGCCAGCTTCGTTGGCTGAGCAGGAATATCAAATTCATCGTATTCGTCATCTTCCACAGGCGTACATACAACCCGGTCCACACTGTTCGCGGGTGGCAGGTTCGAGTATCCCTCTGATTGACCCGGTCCATATCCCTTGACGCTTTGCTCCATGGCAGCGGACTTCCCACACCACCCGGTTGCATTGTTGTTCTTTTCGATCTCGAGGTCAGAGTCCGACGAGTCTTCCTCGCTGTCAACGGGGTTAAAAGCCTTCACCCGATTTAGCGAGGTCTGCATAGTACTTAAACGTCAGTTTATCTTTGTGAAGATCAAACCTCAAGATCTCGCATCGAGCAACGAATGTCTCGAAGGTTCCAATTAGAGCACCGTGATAATGTTTGAGGGCCTCGGTCACCTTTGCTTTCCTATATATGTATCCCCCATCAAGGCGTCCATCCGGCGCATCGCGGAACAGGTATTGCCACACCTTCAGTCTTTTCGGTCCCAACTTGTGGTACATATCCCTGTTCGTGCGATGTGTGGCACGCGGCTTCTCGAGGCGGCACTTAAATCTCCCATCCTTAACAACTATGTCGACGAACTTTGTCAAGTATGCAATGTCCTTGGCCGACTCGTCACAGGCAATGACATTATTACCTGCAAGCAATAACTTCCATACAAGACTCGCGTGCGCCCTACCCAGCAAAAGCACACCTTCCGCCTCTCCTACGAATGAACTGCACAACTTCCACAACTTGCCAGGTTCTCGCTCCCAAATTGAATATGCAGCACTTTCGTCGCCTTCAACGCCACCGTGTTTTCTGAGACACTTCCTGAACTTTTCCTCCACAACATGCACTTCGGTGAGATCGTTCTGAAGTCGGGGTGCGACAGTTACTTTTTTCAGATCCCCTCCTTCAACGTGCAACACGATCGCCATCAGGTCCTGACTGCTCGTAGCGATGTTGCCGTACTTTGTGACGTCGCTCGGCGGCCTGTCCACACGTTTCCATGACCCGGAGATGAGCTCGATTTCCTCCCAACGGTACAATTAACGCAAGACATCGCTTTGCACATTCTGCGGTGCAAAGAAGAAGAGGACCCAATTTGGACCACAACACTTCGCCAGCATTGCGTAAAGAGCATCGAAGTCCTGCGAGGTCCATGCACTCTTGAAATTCGCGGTCGAGATGTCCACGATGGCGGCCCTGCATGTCATTTTTTGTGCGGCTGCGACGATGTCGACGGGCGCCGCCATAACCTCCTTTGACCGCATGCATACAGGAAGCAATGTGGTCTGCCTGTGGAGTTTGTCCCACACAAGATGGTGTGCACTGGAGGCGATCCGTTTCACCTCCGCTCGAAGCATATCGAGCTTATCAAAAGTGGTGTATATAAAGACCTTGAAGTGAAACGGAGCCTCCTTGGACATCACTTATGTAGGCCCCAAGCCCGCACCTTGCCTCGCCTCCTCCACTCCTCCAAGTCGCCGAGGGATTGTTTTCACTAAGTTGCTATGCAGCTTCTCCCGTTGCTTCTCCCATTCATCTGCGCATAACCCGTTTAAAGCATACCTGTCTTCCAGGTCCTTGTACGACATGAAGAAGTCGTCGTTCCATTCGTCCCCTGCCCTTCCCTCGGCGGGAAACACAACGTAGTTGAACATGCGGACCATGTATCTCTCCTTGCGCATAATGTCGAGGAGGCACTCTGTGTTCACCCTCGGAGGCGTGACTCTCACTTTTGTTGCCACCACTTTCCCCGACATGAGCAGGAGTAGCGCGACTTCTCTCTCGCGGCATGTCATGTCCCCGAAGTTCTTGAAGTACGTAGGACACAAATCCTTCCAGGACACGGTGGAGCCCTTGGGACCATCTCTCGCATATATGCAGTGGTACAAAGTCCGTTGTCCCTTGTTCTCGTTAGTGTACGGGCCGGGCCTCCCCGGCATCTCAAGCAGGATCTTGCCGTCGCCGATTGGCAGCTTACCCTCCTCGAACATCGCGAAGAACTTCTCCACCAGCGGCCAAACCGTGCGGGTGGACGTGGCGAGGTTCAGGTACCCCCGAAGTTTGTTACTCCAATCCTTGCTGTATTCGTTGTCGAGTGCCTGTTTCACGAATGCCTTATCGCACGCCTTCCCCATGCAGGCCCTCAGGAAGTTCTGCCACGTTTTATGATGCGCAGCGGCGACGCCATCCTTCTCGCTGACCTTACCTTTGGGTACCTCGATCCTATTGTTGTCGATCCACCATTGCCGCATATCATGCACAGCATCCTGGAAGGATAACATCATAGCGCGATTCTCCTGTGTGTTGTCGAAGAGGGAGACATTGAAGTACCCGCGTGTGTGGTCATCATCGAAAAATACGACTCGCACTTTAGAGTACATGCGAAGGCCGTAGACTTTGACCGCAGGGGAGTCCTTTCCAACCAACCGTTTCATGGCCTCGGCAATGCTGACCGCAGACAGCGTACCAGTCGAACTCTGCACAATCTCTTTGGAAGAACTCGTCCGGCGTGATTCGCCTTCCCTGCCCCACGACGATGACGTTGGGGTCAACCGGCGCAAGAACGAGCTCAGGTTTATCCCACACCCTCGGGTCAGCACTGATGGAGCTTTCTATGGCACTCTCGATGCCTCTCACAATGTTCTTAGACAACGAATGGTGGTTAAAAAGGATCTTCCCACGGGGAATGGGTTTGATCCTATTAACGTCGACGTTAACAACTTGGACGTCTTGCCTGGCGAAGCCCTGTTTGTCGTATTCGAGGAAGAAACATCGTGTCGTGTCCACGGGCGCGGCGTGCTGAACCAGCTCTTCAACGTCTTCGGGCATGCGAGGCCCCACCCCCTCGCCCTCATCCCCCGAGTCCCGCAGCTCAGGTGCCCTGGACCTCTGCGAGCCTTTCCTACCGCCTCCGCTACCGCCCCCGCGGCTGCCACTTCGCCCCCCCCCACCAGTTTTCCGAGGAGCCCACGCTTCCTGTGATGCTGTCAACGCTCCGCGAGCTTCATTGACGGCGTCCGCCCTCGCCTGTTTTGTTCGACTCGCAGGAGAGGTCGACGCCTCTTCCCTCTTTCGCTTTCCCCGTGAGCCCGGTTCGTCTCCCTGTCGCATGGCGTGGTCATAGGAGCGATTGTCTTCGACTTCCTCACCAACATCGTCTCTCTCCTCGTCCATGCCATCGTCCTCACCTTCAGCATCTCCTTCGTTACCGTCGTCCCCCTCACCACCGCYYTCCTCCTCCTCACCACCGCCCTCCCCCTCCTCACCACCGCCCTCCCCATCCCAACCACCGCCCTCTCCATCTTGGCCCTCGCATTCCTCGTCATCGAAGGCACCTGCACCTCCCCGGGAACGATGCTGCGGACTAGCCCGATAGCGCACAGCCCCGTCGTCGTAGTCTGTGGCCTCGCTGGACTGCTCGGCCGCATCGCGACCTTGCCGATCTGAGGGCGTTACTGGAGCGGGCAGAGCTTGGACAACCACAACCGACGAAGACGGGGCAGTCGGCAATTCCTTCCTCTTTCCACCCGCTCTGGCCGGTTGATCCTGGCGCCGTTTGGGCCCCGCAGCCGACAAAGACGGGGCGTCAATCGGCACGAAAACACGGTCAACTTGTTGGGCAGCAGGCAGCCTCGCGAACTCTTCCCTGTATCGCATAACGAAAGCCGCGAGTTGGTCCGTCGGGCTGTTGAATTGGACCAAAGGTCTACTGAGCATGAAAGCGCTCTCGACGACAGGCAGGGACCCAGTCACGCGGTAGCCATTGGTTTTGGAAAGAAACTTTTCCAGATCCAGCATTTGGAACTCTGTTCCATTCCCGCGCACATCAAACGCTTTCATGGACAAAGCCTTGACCCCGTATCCTTGGAAGAGCCGATGATCAAGAGACACCTTCTTGTCTTCCTTGACCCAGTTTTTCCCCTCTCTGTCATAGACAGACGTAAGGAAGAAGGTCTTGAACTTCCTGCCGTCATAGGTAAACCTCCCCGCTTCCGATTTCTCCACCCCTCCGCAGCAGTACCAACTCAGGCCGGACGCTGATTTTCCTGAAGGGTCGCACAGAAAAAAACAACAAGAAAACAGATCTAAGTGACACGAAGAAGCATCCGTCGCGGCATGGGAGTTTCGCTACCGCCCCACGCAGCGGGTCCGGCGTTCCTAGAACGCCGGACCCCACGACCGTTGTGTGTGCGGGTCCGGCGTCCCCAAAATAGCAGACCCACCACCGTCCCCCCCCCCCCCCCCCCCTCGATGGCCACAACACCAAGGGGGTCTGGCGTTCCCGGAACGCCGGACCCCCCAGGTGCTGCGGGGAAGGAGGGGTTTCGTCCCGCCCCCTCGATCCCCGCACCGACAAAGGGGTCCGGCGTTCCGGGAACGCAGGACCCCTTTGTTGCTGCGGGGGATGAAGGGGGTCCGTCCCACCCCCTCAATGCCCGCAGCAGCAAGGGGTCCGGCGTTCTCGGAACGCTGGACCCACCGGTGTGAGGAAACCCGGGGAGGGGCGCCTACCGTTCGCCGAAGCCAAGGGCAACGGCGCCTGTCACCCGACGCGCCCGCTTCCGAGGTCCTCGACGACCAGCAGAAATCGAAACTTGCGGCGCCCTGTCACGCTCCCAATTTTCTTTTTCTTTCTTTGTGCAATTTAGCAACTTCACAAAGCAAGGGGTTTCAACAGACAACTGGTAATTCCACAAGCTCATACAACCGTAAGTTTCAACAGCCAATTGTTTCAACAGCTAATCAACAGTTCAGCGAGCTCACGCAACAGTGAGTTTCGACAGTCAACTGGCAATTCAGTTACGGACGCAGCAGCGAGTTTCCCGAGTCAACCTTGGATGTGCCCCCCCCGTTCTCTTTCTCTCTCTCTCTCTCTCTGTTCTCTCTCTCTCGTTGTTCTCTCTCTATCTCTGTCGCTGTTCTCTCTCTCTCTTCTTTCCCTGAACCATTGGTCTATTCCCCCCTGTTGAAATACACTGCCTGCACTCATTCCCTCCGTTTCCCTAGGTACACTCTCTCGCCTCCTTCGTTAGCTCGGTTTCTTCCTCCCGCTGTGGACAGGCTCAACCCGCCATTCTCCACAGACAGTTGACTGAGATAGAAATTACAACAGTGAAAAAAAGGGAAAAGGGCGCACTCAAGCACGCCAGCCCGCTCTCTTTGACTGAGCGAGTGTCATGCAGGTACTGACCCACGCTTAACCCCAAGTCCTTACCCCTTACCTCTTCTTCTGTCCGATCAAGTTCGCAATAGTAGAAATGACAGTGGAAAGGCTCGATGGCGCCCGGTAGAGTAAAGTAACTTGTCCCTTCAACAGAGGTATGTTCGATTCCCCGATCAGCGGAAGTAGATAACTGGGGCCCACGAGACGCGGAAGGGCTTAATTTGCAGATCAGCTAGCGTGAAACAACTGCCCCCCCAGCAGCGGGAAGGGTTTATTGCCCAGTCAGCAAAGGTAGCATAATTAACCCGCCAGCAGACAGAATGTTTGCCAAATCACCAAAAGTGTGACAATTGGCCAGCCAGCAGCGGGATCGCCAGTCCCATGATTCTTTGGGGAGCACAGTTCCCGCTAGCTGCGGGACCAACTGATTGTTTGTATTGAAGAGTTTCGTTCCCGCTGGCTGCAGGATCAACTGGTTTGGCCGCACTGATGAGCATCTCCGCCAGCAGCGGGGTTGGCAGATAGGTAAATCACTGTTGAGCACCGTTCCAGCTGGCTGCGGGATCAACTTGATTGGCCACACTGATGAGCATCCCCGCTAACTCCGGAATTGGCAGATTGGTAAATCACTGTTGAGCACCGTCCCCGCAGGCTGCGGGATCAACTTCATTGGTCACATTGATGAGCATCCCCACTAACAGCGGAATTGGCAGATTGGTAAATCACTGTTGAGCACCGTCCCTGCAGGCTGCGGGTTCAACTTGATTGGTCGCATTAATGAGCACCCCCGCTAACAGCGGAATTGGCAGATTGGTAAATCATTGTTGAGCACCGTCCCCGCAGGCTGCGGGATCAACTTGATTGGTCACATTGATGAGCATCCCCGCTAACAGCGGAATTGGCAGATTGGTAAATCACTGTTGAGGACCTTCCGCGCAGGCTGCGGGATCAACTGGTTTGGCCGCACTGATGAGCATCTCCGCTAGCAGCGGGGATGGCAGATAGGTAAATCACTGTTGAGCACCGTTCCCGCTGGCTGCGGGATCAACTTGATTGGTCACATTGATGAGCATCCCCGCTAACAGCAGAATTGGCAGATTTGTAAATCACTATTGAGCACCGTCCCGCAGGCTGCGGGTTCAGCTTGATTGGTCGCATTAATGAGCACCCCTGCTAACAGCGGAATTGGCAGATTGGTAAATCACTGTTGAGCACCGTCCCCKCAGGCTGCGGGTTCAACTTGATTGGTCGCATTAATGAGCACCCCCGCTAACAGCGGAATTGGCAGATTGGTAAATCATTGTTGAGGACCTTCCCCGCAGGCTGCGGGATCAACTTGTTTGGCCGCACTGATGAGCATCTCCGCTAGCAGCGGGGATGGCAGATAGGTAAATCACTGTTGAGCACCATTCCCGCTGGCTGCGGGATCAACTTGATTGGTCACATTGATGAGCATCCCCGCTAACAGCGGAATTGGAAGATTGGTAAATCACTATTGAGCACCGTCCCGCAGGCTGCGGGTTCAGCTTGATTGGTCGCATTAATGAGCACCCCCGCTAACAGCGGAATTGGCAGATTGGTAAATCACTGATGAGCACCTTCCCCGCAAGCTGCGGGATCAACTTGATTGGTCACATTGATGAGCATCCCCGCTATCAGCGGAATTGGCAGATTGGTAAATCACTGTTGGCGACCGTTCCCGCTGGCTGCGGGATTGTCTGGACAGAGGGGTCACTACAGCGAGCTGTCCCCGCCTGCAGCGGTTCTCCCGAGCCGGTCCTCTTGGGTGTGTTTCCGCAAGACCGTAAATAGGGACAGCGGGAACCCCGTTAATCCAATCATCCGCGTCACTAATTAGATGACGAGGCAAATACCTTCTCTTCCCGCTGATTCTTCCGAGGTTCGTGGAATAATTACAAATACATAAATAAATAAATAAAAATCTCTCAATCACTCTCCTTCACCCTCTCACTTTCTCACATTGACTCTCTCTGCTCTTCCCCCATCAACACACTCTCTCACTTTCTCACGCGCACACAACTCTCTCTCACACAGCGCACACACACAGTCACTTCCTCCCACTCCGCACAGTCTCTCTTTCTCGCACTGCACAATCTCTCACTCTCACACTCGCTTTCACACTCTGCACTCTCTCTGTCACTGCATACTCTCTCCCTCACTGTGCACTCTCTCTCACACTCTGCACTCTCTCTGTCACTGCACACTTTGTCCCTCACTGTGCACTCTCTCTCACACTCTGCACTCTCTCTGTCACTGCACACTCTCTCCCTCACTATGCACTCTCTCTCACTCTGAACAGACCCTCTCTCTCATACCCAGTCCCACTCTATTGTACACAGTCCCTCTCTACCATTCAGACGCACTCACACACAGTAGATGAGCAGGGTTCAAGCACGCCCCCGCTTCACCAACTCCAACGCACTGTCCTCCCCTCTCTTCGGGCCCAGCCTGCAAGTGTGGGATAGCGGGGCAGGTGAGTGGATAAGAGTTGCAATTACAATAGCTCCTTATTGTCAACTTACGTGTAGCTGCCGATGCTCGATTACCAGCGCGTCAGACTATTGACGCCATCATCATCTACTGTAACCACCGTGCCAGCACCAGCGCCCCATGAACGAGCACGGACTCGTGCGCTGCGTTCCCTGCGGTCACAGTCCATGCGCTGATGTCCCTCTGGTCATCGCCCCTGTTGTGACAACGGTCGTCTTGGTCACTCCCACCAGCTGTGCAGTCCCCTTCTCTCTCACTCTCCCTCTCACACGCAAGTAACCGCCTGAGCGCCGACGCGTCTCCGCCTCGAGCTCGTCTCCCACTCTGCCACTGCTTGACGTCTGGCACACCTGGCATGCAATTCCATTCCCTTCACTGTTCTCCCCTATATCCGCTTCAGTCCCATGGTCTGACCGACCAGGGCCTTCTCGGAGTGCAAGTGTGCAGGAAATAGTCCGCCGCGCCACCGAGGAAAAAGAAAACAGTGGTACCGGTCTCACAGACTCGTCGTACCGTACCTGAAACATGTCGAACACGGCAAGATGCAGCGGCGCGGTAATAGTACCGAACCTGAAGTAAACCGTCGCAATGATCCCGAACCTGAAAATAAATCACCGCAGAGGTTCCGAAATAAACTGTCGTGAGGGCGTCGAACCTGAAACGAAACATCGCGATGCCACCGAACCTGACCAAATCCGAAATCCAGTACCGGGCTGTTGTGCCATGCGGATGCCGAACCCGTACAATCATGCCATGATAACCTGTCCCGAACCTGATATAGAATGCCGCAACGTTTCCGGACCTGAAAACAAACTGCCGCCTGGAATAACTGTCGTAGCGGCCCCGGTCCTGAGAATAAATCACTGCAGCTGTCCCAAACCTGAAAATAAGTCACCGTAGTGAGACAGCTGTCACCGGGCCCATACCATACTTGAAGCACGTCAGACATCGTAGGACGTAGCCACTCCGTAACGACCCTCGTATCCGTACCGAACCAAACACCATAGTCGACCCAAGGCAGCACCACCCCATGCTGTCCATGCGACTCCTGCTCTCAGAACATCTCAACTGCGGTAATGTTAGTAATCAAGCACACCAAGGAAAGCGTCACAGGGAACCTTGACCATCGGCAGTAGTGTTAACTTGTTAAAATCTGGGGAAAATGATCAATCCGGAGTCACGGCTGATGGCGGGTAATCGAGGCGAAATTAGGCCAATCTCCCAATAGTCATGGGTTCCCGTCCCTTTCATCGTTTTTCATCATTCTTACCTTTCCTTAATTCTATTGTCG